TTGAAACAGCATGCTTGGACTTTATCCTAACATCCTGGCAAAATGCCATCTTCTTGTGTCAGCTGCGAATTTCAATCATATTTTTGCAATGTCTGTAGATGGGTGAACAACTGCTTCACATGTAGCTGGTACTTGTTTTTTTTGTTTGAAATATTTATTCTCAGGGCAGCATAGAAAGGAGATTCAAATACCACTTGTAAATGCTACTTAAAATTCATTTCTATCCAAGAGTGTTAGAGAAGTCTCTGTGCACTCCAGTGCTTCAGAAGCCACAGCTGTGCCTGTGTAGGGTAGCTGTAAAGGCAAGAGTTGATTTCTGTTCTCCAAACTGTGTCTTATCCAAATAAAAAGTCGGGATTAAACCAATTTTTCATAGTGTCAAGGTTTCACAAGTGACCTTCTGTATCTAGGAAAAGGGTAACTGATCTTCCTTTTGTTGGCCTTCAAAGATGAAACACAAATGATTCAGAGAAAATAAAGCAATAAAATATTGTTGCAGAAATCAGTAAGTTTGTGCTTCAGATTGTTCCTCTCAATATAAGTATCCAAGAATCAAGGAGAGCTTTTTTTTCCTTTAGTAAGTTGCAATATTCACCTACCCACTACAAAATCTTTGCTTTAATGTGAAAAGTCTGTGTATCCTCAATAAATCAAGAATCAGGGAATCACAGAGGTTCCCTAAGTAATGCTTGCCTGACTTTTATGATATGTCTACAGTCTCTCTTTTCAGCTTTGCAGGTTTGGTGGTCTATTCAGGAAGCACTTTTTCACATTGAATATAAGCACTGATGTGGACAAGAAATAAAATAAGCAAAGAGGATAGATAAAACCTTCTATTTCTCCACTTCAGTTTCTAGCATCTCCCTGTGAGATGGCTATGAATAACCAAATTTCAGCTAGGAAGGATAACTACTAATCAGATATGGATACAACAAGAGTCTTTCAGAGGATTCAGGAAGAAACTGTATAGTCCCATTTCATTATGGTAGCTCTTTTTGTATTTTGGAGAGAAGGATGGCTTTTCCTCTTGCTCCAGAAAAATCTCTTATGAAGACACCAAAATCATTCCTTACGCCATCTTTCCATCCTCAAATTTTCTCCTCAGGAAGAATCTGGAATTAATTCACTCCAAAGATCTGTCCACATTTTTTTATAAACAAATGTATGTTTGATCCTCTCACTTATATCAAGGTTTTTCTTCAAAACTAAATGCGTGTTCAATATCGTGCATATGTTCCTTTTACATTCTCCTTTATAACAGTTATTTGCTCTTCTCAGAACTGGGCAGGCCCTCCCTTAAATTAGCAAAAAGTTGTTTGTATTACATAAAGTATTATGTGAATGTTAGCAAGTCTGTAGTCTTCAGGAATTTATAATTTATATTTTGATGGAAGACGTACAAACTTAGCTGACTATCAGTCAAAAAGCTACAGTACTGAGGTTTAAACAACAGGACTTTGAAATACTGAATCAATAAACAATGATGCATTAAAGTGAAGTCATGAAGATGACAGAGTTTCACTAAACAATAAATTGATCCACACGTGCATAACAAGGGATTTAGGTTACGTGCAAAGAAAATGGAATACAAGGAATGGTTACTGGTTTATGAATGGAAGCGTCAAAATAAAGCAACTGAAAATATGTAACAGAAATGAAGGAGATTTACTAAAGGCCGAGAACAGTCACATAGATGTCTCTATGCTGTGGTTACACAGTACCTAAGGAAACAAATCTTAAACCTGGTGAGAAATAACAAAGCAGAGTAGAACTGTGGCTCCGTAAAAATGGAGCAACGTACGCTCTGTACTTTACAAATCCATTTCTGGTATATATTCAAAATCATATCATCCTACTTTATTAAAACAAGTGATTTTTCAATAGTCTTCAATTTCATACCACTACAGCTCTAAGAGGATGAGCTAGAGTCTTTTCTGGCTTAGCTGTCATGGAAACAATTATTTACTTCCATCTGGGTAATCTTCATCATTATGGACCTGAACTGGTTGAAAAGCGTGTGAACTTCTAGGATTTTTGAAATTAAAGAAAAGATATCTAATTGGCTATATCCTACTATGTTACATTAACAGGACAATTGTGTTTAACCCAAGATAAAAAAAGATATTAGATTGGCCCTTTATTTTCTGACTGTCTTTTCAGGCTTAGATTCTGCTATCATTAATCTAATTTAAGATTACTTTGATTTGATGACGGGGCCTACAGTAACCAGTGAGGCTATCCAAGCTTTAATGAGTGTAGCATCGAACCAGAATCCACTAAAGCTAGATGACCTGTGGATGTTACCACAGATGAGTGCAGAGTGATGCACTTCACTCCTAGGAGAGAAGCAGCAATATGTTTTATTGACATAAGATAACGGTTTAACAAAGATCAAGGGTAAATAAGACAGTGATTTAATGAGATTCGATGGCAAGGTTCACTTGGCTATTTGCTGCACAGAGGATAGGGTCAGACAAAATCATCAAGGAGATCCTCTCGTTGAGTCGTGGGGTTCAGAACTTGCTTTCTGAACTCCTATCCAGTCCTAGACTTAGTCAATGGTTCACAATCAATCCTAGATACACTTGGCCAAGTTTGCAAAATCTCAGCACTAGTTACACGCTGTTAGTTACTTACTGAGGATCTGTCACAGGTACAGAGTTTCTTGACCTCGAAGGCTAACCTTGAGAGGCATCCCAACTCAAGGGGAGACTCACTGCCATGCAGCCAGCTGCCATGCAGGAGAACTCAATGGACTTTAGGTTGCAGCACTATTTATGGGAGTGTAATTTTACTCATGGTCATACAATATTTGGAGTGGAGATATACCTTTTTTGCTGATCTCATGCCAGGTGTAAAGAAAGAGATCTTTTAGCTGATCTAATGCCAGGTAAGGAAAAATATCTTTTAGCTGATCTCATGCCATGCAGAGGAAAATATACCCCCTTTTCCTGTTCTCATGCCTGTTTCTGGCCTCACCATTCAGCACGGATTCACCAAAGGGAAAATATGCTTGACCAATCTGATAGCCTTCTCTGATGGAATGACTGGCTGGGTAGATGAGGGCAGAGCAGTGGATGTTGTCTCCCTGGGCTTCAGCAAGGCTTTTGACACTGTCTCCCATCACATCCTCCTAGGTAAACTCAGGAAGTGTGGGCTAGACGAGTGGACGGTGAGGTAGGTGGTTGTGGTCAGTGACACAGAGTCTATTTGGAGGCCTGTGGCTAGTGGTGTCCCCCAGGGGTCAGTCCTGGCTCCAGTCTTGTTCAA